ATGACTCCAATACTTAATCCCATCCAAGAATTTAGCCAAATGAGAGCTCCATCCCTTGAAAATATCTCTCAAATCAGACAGTGATATGTAATTGATCATGCTGTCATACACTATTATCTTCAGGGATGGGAGCTGAAGTTGGACGAGAAGCCAGTGACGACGTTCCAAAACAGGGATAAACACCTGCGATCATAAGTAATAATTCATTTATTTGCGCACTTATTATTTATTAACACCTTTAAAAAATTTAAAAAATAAACACTAACCGTATCGACCTCCCACCATGCAGGATAAAGTTTAGCTTGTCCATTGCCCAACAAAAATGATTCATCTCGTTGATTCTTCAAGTGAACTGCGTGAAAAGCCGTCGGCATTATTGTATATAGCGAATTTTTTTTATTTTCCTAAGCTTCCTTATTATTAGTAGACGTAACACCCATGCATCGATATGCTATTTTACAAAAAAAATACATATATTAGTGAATTACATTAATTTTTAAACAAATTAGTCAAAATCATATATAAGACAAATATAGTCTTACCTCCCCATCCAAATAGCCACTGTCTTCAACCCCTAATAGCACACCCCACCAAGACCGATCAAGCAACAAAAACATTTCATCGTTGAGTTTGTTGATGTCAGTGTAACACCCTTGGCTCCGCTCATGTAGATAAAAATCAACTGCGGTCTTAGCCCAAAGGGTATTATCCACAATTGTTTCCGGTAGTTGTCTCCTCTCCACTTCAGATACCGGAAGGGTACTAGCCGGTAACTCATACGAGAGCCAACTCTCATCCATCATGTCCGGAACCGGTGGGGGTTTCTCAATACTTCGATATATTACCCCATGTGAATCGGGCTCTGGAATGGTGGGAGGGACCTCTTCAACGATGACAGTGGCCTCTTGAACGGTGGGGGGGAATCTTGAGGGAGAATAGGGGCCTCTTGAACGATTGGAGGGGACTCTTGAGGGATGACCGGTGAGTCGGGCTTCTTCTTGCGGAGTCTTCGCACCATTGGGGTGAACGGAGACGTAATAGCACGTCCACGCCGTCTGATGCGTGAACTCCGTCGTGCAAGGAAAACCCGACGTAAAGCATCCACCTTATCGGGCCGCTAAAAAAAATTAATACATAAATCAGTAAATAAACAGACATGATATTAAACAAAGACAAATATGTTTCAAACTAGCATTGTATTCACCTAAATCATTATTCTATCATAGTTCACAAAATGCTCAGATAACATTCCAGAAGTAAGCACTTATATAAACATTTAAAAGGACAACATATATAAACATTCCAGAAGAAGAATAGTTTACTTTCGCAACACGAAACTTAAAATCGCAACGCGAAATGACTATCGCAACGCGGAAATGGCTATCGCAATGCGAAATGAAAATCGCAACGACAAAATCGCAACGCGAAATGAAATCGCAACGACAAAATCGCAACGCGAAATGAAATCGCAACGACAAAATCGCAACGCGAAACACAATCGCATTGCGATTTTCATTTCGCGTTGCGATTTTGTCGTTGCGATTTCATTTCGCGTTGCGATTTTGTCGTTGCGATTTTCATTTCGCATTGCGATAGCCATTTCCGCGTTGCGATAGTCATTTTCGTGTTGCGAAAGTAAACTATTATTCTTCTGCAAATTGAAACTTGAATGGATTGCATTACTTCAACCAAAAGACAAAAACAAAACCAAAAACAAATACTAACAAAAACAGATTGGCAGCAACCGAATGAATTACGAGTATGAAAAATCTTAAACTTACCTCGTTGCGTAGAGTATGAACCTCATTCTGCAACGATGCTACCATCTCACGTAGAGCGGCTACCTCACCGCGTAATGTAGACACCTCAACACGCCATATACCATCGTCTTTGCGTAAAGTACCGACCTCCTCACGCAAGGCATTGACCTCATCACGTAACTCCCCTAACTCATCCCGTTGAGGTGGAGGTGGAGAACAGGGAGATAAACGTCGTGACATCTTTGCCGGTCGCCTATCTTGCGGTGATGGTGGAGAAGAGGCTCGATGATGTGAAAGAATAGGTGATGGCTGTCGTTGTGGAGGTGTATAGCCGGGTCGATCAGATGATGGCTCTAGGTGAGGTGATAGCTCTGGGCGAGGTGATGGCTCCCGAAGTGGAGGCTGCTCATCAACCGTTCCATCAAAAAAACGCTTACTAGCTTGCCACCAATCAGTGGCAAGCTCAGCTTCCGTGGGTGTCAGCCTCTGTAGAGGAGTGTTGGCCTCCTAACAATATAAAAGCTTAAACAAAGTTAAATGTGTACTAGTAATAACTTGTTTATAAACATATGGTAGTATTTATGTTAACTTACATTATTTATTGTCGTATACCGTAGTAAATCTTCCCATTGCAAGGTTCGTTTCCTCTTCCAGGAAATAGCCCTGGGAATATTATTTGAAGTTTTTATTGCATATGTCTTCATGGCGGGAAAGGCCTCAAATATCCAAATCTACAAACAATATAATAACAAACATTAGTAATTGTTAAATAATTACTTATAATTTTGGAAACATTATATAAAAATTCTTACCTTAAAGGCCCAAATAAAGCCTGTCAAAGTGTATTTGGAACCATCGCCATGCAAACTTTTTCGATCATCCAAGGCAGACGATAACTTATTCCATGTAGCTTTCCATAAATACGAGCCCCACGGAAATAGGTTCCACGCATTTAGGTCTTCTACCAATTTGATTAGATCATTTGGAATAGGTTGTCTGGCCTCTCTGCCTAAAAAGCCGGCATGCAAAGAATTAGAAGGCATACTCGGACAACGTCGACGTCATCCATCCGAGTAAAACCATCTTTATTATTCAAAAATCTTGTCAGGTCTTCTACGTGTAGACTCGGCCTCTCCAGCTCAGGAAAAACCCGGGATAGCCATGATGGGCGGGTAATGTGTCTAGTGTACCGACCTACATCATCGTGTCCGAAGCGTAGACCGGTGATTAAGCAAAACTCCTCCCGCCCAAAACACGTATACGCCGGTGGAAAATCAAACCATATCTCTTCATCACGACGTTGTATAGTCTCTGGTAGATCTCTAGTCATGGTTTGAAGAAACAGGTGTGTCAACATCGCATCTCCATCGGGATGTTGTACTTTCAGCCATGGCCCGAAGCATGTATCCTCAAACATTTTTCTTTGTGCAGGTGAAAGCTTCGACGCAATTGTTTTGGCCAGGCTGACTTTATTTCTCAAGGTCAATTGAGCCGAATAAAAGTTCTACAAAAACAATAAACATACTAAATTAGATATACCAAAAACTACACTGTGAAGATATACCAAAAACAATAATAAACATAAATAGTAGTAGTTTATTCTTCAAACTTAAATATGCAACACTGTGAATTTCGTATTTGTCTTTGTTTTTTGGTTGAAGTAATGCAATTCATTCAAGTTTCAATTTGCAGAAGAAGAATAGTTTCTGAAAATGAAAATCGCAACACGAAAATGACTATCGCAACGAAAGAATCGCAACGCGAAACTAAAATCGCGTTGCGATTTGCATTTCGCGTTGCGATTCTTGGTTGATTTAATAAGCAATCTAAGTGAAATGGTTAATCTATTATTGAAATTACCAGTAAACCTATCATCAATTTCAATATGAAAAACCTAATAATAATGCAAAAATTTCAAAAAGAAAATAATTAAAAAAACTAACCCTCGTTGGTTGATTTGGTTGATTTTCCATTTCTGATTGTTAGGGTGGCTCTGAGAGATTTAGATAGACGGATTTCGCCGGAGATAGGGACGGATTTCGTCGGAGATGGGTGAGAGAGTGAGAGATGGAGATGGGACTGAGTTGCGATTTTAGGTTTTAGGTTATGAGTTGCGATTACGGGATATACTGTGGACAGTTCAGTGTTCCAATATATTTTATATTCATGTTTGGAATTTAAAAATAAAATACTTGGCCAGGATACTAATGGCGCTTTGAAAATCGCATTGCGATTATGTATTATCGCGTTGCGAAAGTAAGTATCTCGTTGCGATTTTTTATTATCGCATTGCGATAGTCAGTATCGCATTGCGATTTTCTCAATTCGCGTTGCGATTTACTTATTCGCATTGCGAATTTCCCAATTCGCGTTGCGATTTACTTATTCGCATTGTAAATTAGGAAAATCGCAACGATACTGTAGACCATCGCAACGCGATTTTCAACTATCGCATTGCGAAAATGCAACGCGTCTTTGCGATAATGGAGATCGCGTTGCGAATTAGCGATCGCATTGCGATTTTGTTGGTCATTTTGGCAAATCCGGAAAAAGTTGGTTAAAATCGTATATTATATGGGATTTTTGGTCACTGAGGTTATTTTCTCTAAATTTTTTATAAAAGATCAAATAACTCAACTTGAATTTCTTAAATAAAAATTCTAAATCAAATTCAAGTTAATAAATACAACTCATCAACAAATTTCGCACCCTGAAATTTTAAAATTTCACATCCCTACAATTTTTAGTATAATTTCTTACATTCGCACCCCAAACAAATTCATACATTCGTCCCTGCCTGTATCAAGGTCTTTTAGGGCTTTGTTCAAGTTTATCAAGCTTTACATAATGCTATTATGTTAATCAAAACTTCTTGTTCAAAGCCATAAACAAGATTAATGAATGCATCAACCACCAACGAAAGGTCAAATTATTGGAAATGCAAAATCAAAAACAACTAAAATGAGAAGCATATGTCCATATAGGAAGCATCCCTGAAACATCCCGACCCTGAAATTAGGCCATTATCAGTCAAAACCACGAAGAAGAAAAATATTAAAATCAATAAACACGCCCACCAATTGGAAAATTCCATCAAGCAATCATCTTCTTCTTCTTCATCCTTTTGTCGGATATGATGAATCGATGACCATCATTTGATAAAAATCCAAGGGATCAAATTTCATACAAATGGTTAAATAATCCCAGAAATGAGACGTAATAAACATCACAAACCCTAACTAAACCTCATCGTAATCATAATCGTATTAGATTACCATCATTTGATAAAAATCCAAGGGATCAAATTTCATACTCATAGGGATTAAGACCATTTCATCTTAACCATGACTCATATTTTTCCTCTTTTTTTCTTAGAAAAAGCTAAAAATCTTAAAAAAGAAAATAGATTCAATGATTGACCATCTTCGTCTTCGCCGATCACCGTCATCAAAGAGAGAGAGCAGTACAGTGGAGATCATCGCCTTCATCCAGAGGCGGAAAATTGAGATCAAAAGGCAAAGTTTTCCTACACGAAGACGACGCGATATCTCCGTCGTCGACAACCGAGGACGATGAATCGCAACCGCTATGGCAATCCTCCGGCACTACCTGCGGCATCCTCGGACGGTACTTTTTAGACGAAACCAACGCGAAATTCGTCGATTTCTGTTGCGGTGGTTGGGCTGGTCGGGGTCCGCTAAACGACTCGACCGTGCTGCTCATGCTACTCCTCGTCGGTCTCTGTGGATTCACTCCGTGCTCGTGAAAATCGCCCATCGTGTATAACCGGTGTTGGTCGACGAACCCATCGGTGTGGTGGTGATGGTTCGTTTCGAAAGGAAAAGCCGGGAGATTTGAAGAATCTAAGGGGAAATTTGTTTTAGCTTTGGGTCCACGAAGTGACCTCGCCGCCGCATCGTAAGCCCGAGCAGCATCCTCGGCCGAGTCGAAGGTCCCTAACCACACCCTGGTCTTCTTGCAAGGGTCTCGAATCTCCGCCGCAAATCTGCCCCATTGTCTTTTTCTAACACCTCTGTATCTCGGTTCTTTAATAGATCCGCTAGGTTGCAGTGCCGGTTTCGTGGCTACGGCGTTTGCTGCTGCTGCGGCTGCACCTCTATCTCTCCTCATCGGAAAATATATTATTTGTAAAAAAAATGGACTTTCAGATTCACCCAAATCCTTCAAAAGGGTCAATCCAAAATTAGATTTAAAACTCAAAAAGATTGAAATAATATTAATAATATTTAAAACAATCCAGAGGGATTCATGGAAAGATTACAGATTTAACTAAAAAAATACATCGACCAAATCAACCCACCTAAAACCAACCTATTTATCAATCTAAAAACAGAAACCAGGAGAGATTGAAGATAAAATGAGAGAAAACAAAGTGAAGAGGAATAAGGAAGGAAGATGAAAATGGGAAGAAAAGGGAAAATGAAAGGGAAAGCTAAACAGAGGAAGAAGAAGAAGATGAAGAAGCAGATTGGTAGGCTAAGAACTGGATGGCACCAGAAGAGAGGCCTCCTCTCTTTTCTATTTTTTTTTTTAGCTCAAATGGTTTCCTTCTCTTCTCGATTTCAATTACCCTCTACTGGCCCCACATGCCTACTCGCTTTCTTTTTACTTTTAAGGTTTAATTGTAGTACTAGTCCTTATACTATTCTTAAATTTAATATTTAACCTTCTATTTTAATTTGACAAACAATATTAAATTGTTTATCTAAATTATAACATCGCTGGACAATAATATCACGATAAAGTGATTACAAAGTAGTATATGTTCTTAAGTCTGTAAACGAATTAAACGAATACGAACAAGGGTATATTTTATGTTCGTTCATTTAATTTTAACCGAATAAATAAAAGAACAAAAACATAAACGAACAAAAAAAAAATTGTTCGTGTTTATTCGTTAAAGAATGTAGTTTGTTTGTGTTCGTTCATTTAAATGATAAACGAATACAAATGAACGGTCATAAATGAACGGATATAAACGAACATAAACCAAAACAAAAATAATCACATAAAATTCATTAGTATAAGTTGTAATTGCATAATTAATTTGTTTTTAATTGTTTTGGGATTTTTTTTATTTGTATTTAAAATTAATTAAATTTTAAAATATTAATGGGTATTAATTAAAATATATTAGATCTTATATTTTAAATGAGTCTGGAGAGATTTGACTAAACATAAATGAATAAACATAAACAAACGAACCATTTGTTCGTGTTTGTTAATTTAATTAAACGATCACAAAATTTTATTCATGTTCGTTCGTTTAATAATTAAACGAACATAAAACAAACTTTTCGCCGAATGGTTCGCTAAACATTCAATTAGTTTACATGCCTATTTGTTCTAAATACTCCCAACTATTTGACAATGAACGTTCAATCACCTTATTGCAACCACTGTTGCTCGAACCTATGATTCCTAAGAACAATAACATTTCTTTTAACTACTTAAGTAAGTTAATTTGTCTCGTGTTAAAAGTATTCTTACGTTTTTATTAATATATACATTTATTATTATTTGAATATGTAAAGTAGTCCTCAAAAAATATAATATGTAAAGTATATTTTCACTTTTTTTTATTTTTGATCAAATATAGATAAAAGAATTATATCACGCATAAAGAGAAGAATATAGTATAACAAATTTTATGTCACTCGGTTAACCTTTTACTTTTAAAATATATTTAAAATTAAAAGTAAAAATACTAAATCTCCGAAATTTATAACAGTAGGACAAAAACTATAATATTCCTTCGGTGCTACATTTAAATAATTATAAGAATTCGGTAAATGGTCAAGTCCTAAATGGTCACTTAAATTTTACGGTATTTTTATTTCTGTCACTCAAAATAAATCCTTTCAATTCTGATCACTGTCATTAGAAAAAAAAATTACTATTACTTTTGGCAATCCAAGTGTTAAATCTCTAACGATATTAATGGTAAAGTATCCAGTTGGTCATCCAATTTTTAGGACGCCTTTATTTTTATATCATTATAACGTTTAAACCATGGCAGAACATTAATTTTGGCCATTAAGAGACAAGTCTCACAACATGTTTATTTTAAAAATTTTATTTAAAATTAAATTTATATATATATATATATAGAAAACAAAACTTTGGATTGCGATTTTCATTCTAGGATTCGTGGGGTATAAAACGTTGATTTGTCATCAATCGGTCACAATTTTATGAGGATTTTGTTCACCGAGGGGAGGGGAGGTCGTACAAAACTTCTTCGACAACAAAAGGCGATGGTCGATGTGGGTTTAGGGTTTGAAATGAAGATTTTTAAAGTTTTGGATTTATTTTAAATTTTTGTGTTTTCTTTTTAATATATATATATATATAATTTATTTTTTTTAATTTTAAATAAAAAATTTAAAATTATTAGATTATGACTTGTGTCACTTAACAGAAAAATTAACGATGTTAGCAGTCCAAACACTTAAATGAATAATAGAATAAAACGTTAAACCCTAAATTAAAATAAAATAAACGTTAAGACATTAAATTAAAACGGATGATGTCGTGTGTTAACCTTATGTATATTTAAGCCTTAAATAAATAATCTTATAGATAAAATGACAGGAGAGTCCTTTCTCTTTTAATCATTTTGTCCGCAGGTAAAGTTTTCCTCCCTATCCTTTTTATAGACTGGTCTCCATCAATCTTTTTGCTTTGGGCAGGTTTCCTTTTCTTTTAATAAATAATTTTATAAGTCAAAAAATGAATAAATAATTATGATATTGCCATTCTTCTCCATACGTACCACATATACACTTAACAACATTTTTTCTCAAAATAAATTTAATATCGAAATATATTATATTACTTAAGTTTCAGGTAATATTAAGGTCTAATCTAAAATCCAATTTTATAAAAAAACATTTAAAATAGAATTTAATATTTAATATCAATTAAATTCGAAATAATATATTTTTATAAGAATTTTAGATATTCTTCAAAAGGTAGGTTAATTAATAAGCATAGATTAATTTATTTCAGCAATTAAAGAAATTTTTATTATTCTTAAATATTATAAGTTCGAATACTAATAATTACAGTATAACAATCCTAGATATTTATTGGCCCGGGCATAATATTATTGGTACAAGTATAATTACCGTCCGTAATGGGCATGATTAGTGGCACTGTCCACCTGTCCCAATATCCATCATATGGTTTATTAAACATCTTAGCTAAAGTTTGTGATCTTCTTCTTCTTTAAATTTTTTATTTATGATAATTGGGGTATTTAAGGCCAATATTCATCCAGAATATTTTTCCCCTAATTACAGACGCTAGAAATCTCAAAAATTAAATTCGAAGAAGATATTAGATTTTATAAATTTTAAATTACTATAATAAAATAACAATAATACAATTGTACAAGGATTCGATTAAAAATTTGACCAAAACTTTAAAAATACAGTTGATGACAATCAAGCAGTGTTCTTAGCTTTTAAGTATTCTTATTTATGTCCTTAACCACATAGGAATCCTATGAAAGATAATACGAATAGATTTAAAGTAAGTTGGGGGTAAAAATGGGAATTTTATGTCAAGAAGAAAAAATATTTCATTTCCTATAACCAAATTACTATCATAATGAAATTAAAATTATAAGTAGTTGGTTTATTAAGACGATACACTAAATTTCTTAAATATGATCTGAAGTTTAATCAATAACTTTTGTAAATGGAGTAAGTTGTACTTTAGGGAGGGTCAGACGATTTTCCCCAAAAGTCACACTGATCAACTTTATTTACCTAACATATATATTTTCATATTTATTTATCGATCTAACCTCTTTTGCAAGTTGATCTGGCATCACGTGAGGTAAGGCGCGGCTCATCCACCCGCCCAGTGAAAAGTGTAAAAAACCGGGTTTTAGTTTTGTAAATATTTTTACAATTATGCATAATATGTAATTAAGTTATATTAGGATGATATTTTTGTAAAAACATCAACTTTATTTATTTATTTTTTGTGTGTGAAAAAAAATCTACATTAAAATCTTTAAATATTATTTTACAAATTATTTTATAACTCGATAAATTTTCATTTTTGCATGAAATTACACAATACGTATAATCTAGTATAAGAAAACTTTGAGGGTAAAGGGCTATTTGTTTGCCTTTTAATAGAATCATTCAGCGTTGAATGTTGAACCGTTCAGCGTTGAATGTTGAATCGTTCAGCATTCAGCGCGTTTGTTTCGTATCTCTGAATGATTCAGTGCTGATTGATTCAACAAAACAGTGCTGAATAATTCAACATTTGAATCATTCAGCGCTTAATCATTCTGAAGTAAACAAACAACCCCTACGTATTTTAAAATATGAATAATTTTATAAAAGTTTTATAACTAGTATTTCTTTTATGTAATTAAAAGTTTATTTTAGTATTTTAATATTTTTAAACAATTAATTTTAAAAGTCAATAAACATTATTAAATATTGTTAAAAATTAATATCACACAAAAAAAAAGTTTACGTTTTTATACAAACATCACCCTAACAGAAATTAATTACATATTAGATATTATTTTAAAAATATTTACAAAATTAACACTCAATTTTTTACACGTTTCACATGGCGCGGGACATGGGCCACGCCTTGTGTCACATGGCATAAGGCAAAGTGAATGTTCGTGTCTTTCTGCAATAGGTGTTAAATCGATAAATAAAGATAAAATGATGTTTGATAAGTAAATAAAATTGATCAGGGTGATTTTTGGAAAAAATCGTGGAGGGTCACCCCTACTAGGCATTTACAAACTCATCTAAAATTGCCGATGAGTGGATCATATAATGATGGTTAAAAAAATTATAAATATAAATATAGTGGATCATATAATGATGCTTTTTATTAAGTAGAGTTGTTCATCAATTAAAAAAATGTTGGTTACCCATTAATTAATATTTGAAAGTGTGTGAATTCAAATACGTTTTTATATATATTATCGTTTAATTTAAGGATTAAAGTTGTGATAAGAATCGATGTCTCCATTTAGCGTAACAAGCAAAATATAACGTCGAAGAGCGTTGGCACAAGTGGTTAGGATTAATGAATTTGAGATTATAAGATTAAATTTGAATCCTATCACTATCAATCTTTATTGGTAATTATAAATTTCTATATAAATCATAATTGAATCTTACATATACTTTAACTCTAGACTGAAGAATATACCCTTTACCTAAACTTTTTCTGACAAAAAATAAAATAAAATACAAAGCAAATTATTTTTCTTTACAAAATTATTAAGTCATTAACATAACGATAATAATTTTTATTGTTAAATTATTGAAACATGATAATAATTTTTTATTTTTCTATTTAAAAAAATATATATTATCAATTCTTTCGATTATTGTTTCCAAATGTTACTAACCGGTGAAATATCATCCAAATATTCAATATTCTAATGTTTGTGATTTTCTAATGTATTTACATGTAAAATTAATTTTGATATATTTTTAAAAATATTATTTTACATCAATATT